AGGCTATTCAGGTCATGTCTACAACAGACCAATGAGATTTGTGAGACTTATATTTCAACACTCTTGATCATTTCAAAGTATGAAAATCTGCAGCTCCTGGGAGACAGTGTCTATTGATCTGAGTACCACAGAGGAAAGTATGGGGGATAGTGCAAGAAATCCCCTGCCACAGATATTCCAACTTGTCTAGTATTTTTCAGAACAAATGGGTGATTCTTTTAAAACAGTGCTATCCAAACTGATTTTGCCATTTCTAGGATTTTATTAGTAGACTTTGATACCCTTCCATTGAATGATATTAGTTTTTTCAAATATTTTCTTCAGGGTTATAGCTATATACAACAATATGAAATGTACAGAAGATCTATATTGTTATAAATTCCCATGTCACAAATAAATGATTTCTTTTTACATCTCCAAATGTATGCAGTAATATAGGTATTACATAAATTTATCCGATGGCCATTAAACCTTATATAGTTTTCATTTAATAAATACCCTTTACTTTTGAAAACATAATCCTTAAGATGTTTCTATGTCAAAGTGCCCAAATGCATTATTAATATAAATACTGCTGTCATTTAGAATAAGCCTTTTAGTCTGGAACTTGGAGACCTCTTTATTCTAACTAAACAACCTCCTATTCCTGACATTAGCATGAGCAATAAAGGACTTTATGATTTTTCCTGTTTTTTTTTTAAAATTCATAACACTGTTCTTAACTTATCCCCAAACAAGACCAGATCCCAGGTATGAGGAAAGCCCAGAGTCAAGAAAAAATCAGAAAGCTGTGCAGTCTTCTCCAAGTTACCATTCTATGTTCAGATCTCATGCCACACATTTCAAGCTTTACGAATCTAACAGAGACTGCTAGCAGGTTTACAATTCTTTTTTTTTTTTCAAATAGGGGAGATTCTAAACAGCAATTTATTTCCATTATTGTATTTTTTTTTTTTTTCTGGTTTTTCGAGACAGGGTTTCTCTGTGTAGCTTTGCGCCTTTCCTGGAACTCACTTGGTAGCCCAGGCTGGCCTCGAACTCATAGAGATCCGCCTGGCTCTGCCTCCCGAGTGCTGGGATTAAAGGCGTGCGCCACCACCGCCCGGCTCATTATTGTATTTTTAAAGGAGTCTACTGGGCAACACAACAACCCTTGGGAGCAAAGATTCCGCCAGAAATAGATAACTCAGTGAAACAGAAGAGACAGCAGAGGTGAGGGGAAGAAACAGGATGAGAGGAGAAGGATGAAGAGAAAGGGGGAGAAGAAATGAGAAAAGTGAGATGAGAAGGAGAAGAGGGGGAGGGGAGAAGTGGGGAGGGAAGGGCGGGATAGAAAGAGGAGGAGAGGAGAAAGTGGGAGAAGGAGGCGATGGGAGGTGTAAGGGAAGGGTAGAGAAGAGGGGAGAAGACAGAAGAGGGAAACACAGGACAAGGAAGGGAGGAGAAGACGGAAGATGAGGTAAGGGGTGGGATTCTGGAGAACGAAGGATCCTGGTCTGTTCAGTGCAGTGAAGGAGACCATCCCACAGCACGGGATCTAAGATCTTCTGCCCACTCCACGTGTTCCTTCCTCCTTTTCACACAGCGCTTCGTTTAACCACATAGAACACAGCTTTCTGAGGAACTGTTCTTTTCTTAAGAAATCCTAAGAGTCTGTCCAGTGAGGACTTGAAAACTGTTTTACAGAAAATTGTAACGAGGACTAACACCTTGACACCGTGTTTGGCTGAAGACAAAAATTTGTGCGGTCGGATAGCCTCATGTCACAGGACTTCAGGAACCAAAGCCAGGACAGGTCACTTGAAGGCCCTCATGTTAAATCAATAACGAGCAACCCACTCGAGCAAAAGCATCCTCTTTCTGGTCATATCTTCAGGAATAGCACCAGAAAAGCCCTTGAATCTATGATCCCATCTGGGATTCCTGGTTTATGTTTGCTGATCTGACCCTCTCCAAATCAGGAGACGTATGTTCTGACCAGGCTGACCTCAGCCAAACTGCTCAACGTTGCAACTTTCCTGATTGTCTGCTGTGATCTTAGGTAGATGAATGACTAGAGGCCTGAGATAAATCCCCTTCTGGGAAAAATTCTTCCAGAAACTGTTGTGTGAAAGCTAAGTTTTGGGTGAAGTTAATAGATGACTTGTAAATAAGGGCTATGTGTTAAGGTTGTTTTTAAAGTATGTGCTGGGTTAATCAATAGTAGACCAGGTTCTTCACTATGCGTTCTCAGAAACTAAGTACATTGTGATTTGTGTCATAGACGTTAAAGGATGTAGTATTTTTTCAACTGTTTAAAATTCTCATACAGCATCAATAGTTTTTAGGAATATTAATGAAAAAGCACCATGTCAGCCATTTTCTCCTTAATATATCTCCTATAACTAACTAGTCACGAAAATGTAGGGAAATTCCACAAGTCTTTAAAAATATTTCTTGGTAGGATGTTTTGCATATATATGTAAGAATACGCACACACACACACACACACACACACACACACACACCACACACACACACACACACACACACACACACACACACACACACACACGAAGCTAAGGCTAAGAAACTGAAATTTAAATGTCCGTGTGTGTGTGTGTGTGTGTGTGTGTGTGTGTGTGTGTGTGTGTGTGTACAGGTATATGGAAGTCAAAGGACAACTGGGAGCTAGTTCTCTCCTGCCACCTCTTAGGATCTAGGGATTAAACTTAGGTCATCAGGTCTTTATGCAAGTGTCACTATCTACTCACTGAGCCAGCTTTACAAATTCTTTGAGAACTTGATATGTTCTATTTTGATCATATTCACTCTCTACTCCCTCTCCTGTCTCCTTCCATATCCATCTCTGCCTCCTTACCACTCCAACTTCAGTTCTTTCTCTCTCTTTAAAAATAATCCATCAGTGCCAATTTGTGCTGCCCATATACCTCTGAATGTGAGACCATCCATTGAAGCTTGGTCAACCTACAGGGGTCACATCCTTAAAGAAAATGGACTTTCCCTACCTCCCAGTTAGTGATGGGGCTTCTGAGCCCCTTTCTTTTCAATGTTAGAATGTTTGATTGCTTGGCCTTGTGTAGATCTTGTGCAGGCAACCACAGCTGCTGTGAGTTCAGGAGTATAACAGTCATCGTCCAGGAGACAATATTTCACTCTACTCCTAGATCTTACAGTCTATATGTTCCATCTTCTGTGATGGCCCCTAAGCCTTAGGGGAAAGTAATGATATGGATGTACCATTTGTGGCTGAACACACCACTAACATATTCTCTGGGCTTTAACCAGTTGTTTCTGTAATCACTACTACCTGCTGCACATTTTTTTTTTCTGATGATGTTTAAGAGACGCAATACCTGATATAGAGATGGGAATTTAGAGGGTAGCTGGATGCTATGTTCATTTAGCAGAATAATTGTTGTAGGTTAGTGCATGGGGACAGTGAGCTCCCCGTACATGATGGATAACTTTTTAGTGATTTAGATTTTAATAGCTGCATGTGGCTAGTGGCTACTGTATTTGGCAGCGTGGTCTAGAATACAGCACATATCAGCCAAAGGTTATTAACAATGCATTCACTCCTTCATATATCACTAAACCTTGAAAAGATTCATGGATCTGGAAAGTAGGCTTTTTCGTACCCAGAAGCATGAAAATTCACATTTTCAGTCATACTGCTAATTGTCCATTTAATTTTGTCCTGAGTCGCTTTTTTGTTTTCAAGTAGCAAATCCCAACACAAGCTTGGATTGTACTTACCATTTCACTTTTCCAGATATTCTGATCCTCACAAGAGAATTGCAGGAACATTCAGTCCTTTTCACAGAAAACTTACCTTGTCAGCTACTACAAAGGACACCACTGAGAAAACTGTGGCTAGTCTTAGCTGCATTCTCTACATACCTTGCCCATTCATCAAATACAGCTGTTTCGACATTTCTGGATGCACTCTTCTGCCCCTAAGGCTTAGTACCACTTGGCACACTACCTTTTCCTGTTAGAGCTTCGGATCACACTGCTTCTGCTGGCACCCGATTAAGCAAATAAGTGCAATGGATGGAAGGAGAGTCTGAACACTTTAGATAACTTTTCCCAGTAAAGAAGACAACAGTTCTGTGGTATAAGGGGGGAACAGTGGGCAGGGGCAGCATGATGCTTTGGTTCTGTACATGGGGAACATGTGAGGAAGAAGATTCAAGATCTCTCTCTCTCTCTCTCTCTCTCTCTCTCTCTCTCTCTCTCTCCCTCCATCATCTCAGGCTGTGGTCAAACAGCTCAGAAGCTTCACAACTGTTCTTTCTTTTGTTGGCTGCTCTTGTTCCAGGACATTGCAAAAGATTTATTTACCATCACCTAAAGAGCTGAATAGCCTCACCTTTATCTAGCAAACAATAGCTGTTTTGTGTGATCCCATTTGACAACAGTGATTCATTATGTAGCACTAGGCCTTTCCTGATAACTTGTAACTGTCGAGCAGATTTCCTATAGCTTGCTCTCCCATGACAGGACTGTGTGGTCAAATTAAGCCCAGAGATATATAATCATCTGTATGTGAGGATGGGGCACTACGGACTTAGACGTGTACACAGACTCGAATGTATTTATGAGAATATGCTTCTACAATGGGGTCATTCTACAGCATCTCTTATAGCCATTGTGCATTGTGGAACTTTGCATCTGGAGATCCATTCCCTTTGTCATCTGCTTATGACTGACAGTGAGAGCCCCAAAGGGGTGATGGCTCTTGTGCAAGTAAATGCCATTCTGACTCATCGGGGTATAGAAGTAACTTGCATTGCTCTGTTCCCAAAGCAAAAAGGGATATCTGAGATTTCCTAACTCTTCTCAGTGAGCAGCATGATTTTTCTTATAACTTTATTTGTGAAAGTTTTTTTTTTTTTTTTTTTTTTTGGTTTTTTCGAGACAGGGTTTCTCTTGTGTAGCTTTGCGCCTTTTCCTGGAACTCACTTGGTAGCCCAGGCTGGCCTCGAACTCACAGAAATCCGCCTGGCTCTGCCTCCCGAGTGCTGGGATTAAAGGCGTGCGCCACCACCGCCCGGCTATTTGTGAAAGTTTTAACAAAATATAGGGTTATCATGTCCAACTATGAGAATGTCTTCCATGATCGCTTTCCTGTAGACCTATCTAACCAATCTTCCCTTTTCTTACTATAGGCCCAAAGATGCACGTTTTGAAATGTAGAAATGAGAAATATCACCCTTCCTTTACCATTTGAGTCTTTTTAGACTTCCTTTAAGAGATTACTTAGTTAGGAACCAGATTTACTATTTTAGTTATCTTTTTATAAAATAAATTTTTTAAGCCAACAAGCAATAAAGGGCACCACATTTCAATGATCCCGGTCTCTTTTAAAGTTAAAATGTACGTGATAGTTCATTTTGGTTGACAACTTGGTTAGATTATGAAGAGCATAGGTAATCTGGAGCATTTACTCTTGTGCATCTGTAAGGGTATATCAAAAAGGATCAACTAATGGAGAGCAATTGCATTAAATATCAGTGGTATCACCTCATAGACTGTGGATCTTGACAGCATAAAAGGGGAAGAAGAGAAAGCTAGCTAACACAGGTCTCTCTCTCTCTCTCTCTCTCTCTCTCTCTCTCTCTCTCTCTCTCTCTCTCTCTCTCTCCCAACCCCATCTCTCTCTGGCTCATGGCTGCTGTGATATGAGCTGCTCTGCTTTGCCACACACTTCCTGCCCTGATGGCTTGAAACCTGTGAACTGAGTCAAGGTAAGAAATCCATTTGGCAAATGTCAGGTATTCTGTTATACCAATGAAAAAGTCCAACACAACAGAATAGTCCTATGCTATCAATAATAAGTGATTGATTTCTTGTTTATCTACACATCCACTTTCAAGTTTAAAACGCAAATATTACGGTCTGTAGAGATGGCTTAGCAGTTAAGATCTAGTACTGCTTTAGTAGAGGACCAAGATTCAATTCGCAGCACCCACATTAGGTAACTCCAGTTCCATACAGTCTGATCCCCGCTTCTGGCTTCTGCAAGTACCTTTATGCATGCAGTACAAATAAACTCATGCAGGCACATGTGCACACATTTACACACACACACACACACACACACACTTAAAATACCAAAAACTAAAAACTTATTTTTGGATATGATTAAAGCAAAAACTTACAAAAACATTGCAAATCACTTTTAAACCACCAGACCTTCATCAGTTTCAACCAAAGTGTATCTGAGATCCGAGTAACAAATTCTAACCTATGGATTCCCAATGTGTGAAAACTCAGCTCTATTTAGCAAATGAGAAATTTAGTTTGCAATTACATCTACGGCCTAAAGACATTAACTTACAGGTTATTAACTTACAGAGTATGGTAGTTTGTCAAAAATCCTCATCATCTAAGTGAGCTCAGATACAAATTGAAAATCAGAGCCACCATGAATGCAAGAAGTCAATATAAATCAGGAAACATTTCTACTAAACTTGAAAACCATTATTAATTTCAATGTATGGCTTCACAAAACCAACTTTAATTATAAAAATACATTCCCTCTATTTTGCTCCCATGTAAATTGTTACCTTGTAGCTAGGCAGAGGAAAGCATGTATACTGTCAAGAACTTCGGCTTTTTAATGTATTCATTAATTGTTCATCTATCTAATCTGATAAGCCAGAGAAAAATGTTATCACTCAGAAGCACATCCTGTTGAAAAAGTGGGGGGAAAAGTTAAGATTCAGCATGGTTTCTGACTCTATGAGTCAACAGTACAATGCCTAGCCAAAAGAAGTAATGTAATCACTGGTTGCATCAATGACAGTGTTCCCACACAAAGGGCATCAAATTCCCAGACTGGGCCTGAGATATAGTTCATTCTGGCCAGCATGTTTTTATGAGGAGGTTGAGAAATAAAAGTTTGCTCAAAGAAAGTAACCAAAATTTTGAGAAACCTGACAGTCAGGGCTTACAGAAATGAGGTTATATGGCATTTATTGAAAATACTTGTCAAATTGGCAAATGACTTCAGATACTTTAAAGATTTATATATAAAAATGTTGAGACAGGAAAGACGGCTCAGCAGTTAAAAGTACTTCCTGCTCTTCCATAGATCAGAGTTCAGTTCCCAGAACCAGTGTCTAGTGGTTCACAAATGCCTGCAAGCCCTGGTCCAGAGGATTTGAAGCCTCTGTTGGCCTGTGCAGCAGCTACATACATGTGGCATACAGTCATGTGAGCATACATAAATAAAAAATATCAATTAAATATGTTTTAGACCTAAATAAAGTAAAATTGTTAAATAATAAACTCTAGAAAGTCAAACTGTGATCAGAAGAACTTGCTAATAACAGGAGGGAATAAAGTTGCAATGAATCGTGATTCTCGCGTATGAGTTCAAGTATTTAGTTAAACTGGATGATGTGATAAATTGTACAAACAACTGATCTGATTCCAGTGAGGGTCTTTTGTCATTTTACACTGTACACTTCTGCTTCTTCCCCAATAATGGAGTCCACTAGTTCAACGGAGTGAGCAAATATGTGTGTAAATTGGGCTTGTGACCGACACTGTGAAACACTGGCATGCTAAAACCTCTGAAAGTTCAGGGACAAAATTCAAAGCTGTGTGATTGCTGCTAAAGCAAACATGGAGAAATTATGCAGGGGAAAATGCATTTCACATACTCCAAAAGGCAATGTGCAGAGTAAGAAGAAAGAAGGACACATCCTGAGAAATCCGTGTCAGTCATTTACATTTCAGGCAAGTGCTAAGTCACTATCAATATTCTAAGGATTTACTGTAGATGGGAAAATGTTCGTCAGTTTCCAAGGAACATGTTAGGATCTGCTGACTGGTTCCATCATAACTAAGTGTGCTAGGTCAGAAGCAAAGAAGGGAAGGGACTTGTAACTTGTCAGATTTCAGCAGATTTTGAGGCCCTGGGCTCCGTATTCTTCTTCTTCTTCTTTTTTTAGTTGTTATTTAAGCATGCTGAAGCAGGACTATCATGAACAGCTTCCTGTGTGAGTCAGGTCCTGGCTAGAAGTGATGTTGCCACGTTACCATAGCTGTGGCTCTGCACACACTTTCTTGAGTGGGCCATGCTTCTTTCCCCCTTCTGTTTGTGGCCTCCCATACTTTGGACTTTCAGCCTGTCTTCTGCCTTCTTTGAGATTGGGACTTTGTTTTTTCTGAAGTTTGCAGTAGCTTAACTTTCTTTAACTGGTTTGTACCCAATGTTCAGCTTTAGTTTTACACATCCTTTGAAGTTTTCTAGCTCCTCTAATCCACTGCTACCTTGGGCCAGGTTGTAGCTCTTCCCAGAAATGATTAGATGCTGTCGGTATAAATTTAAAAAGTTTATTTTTTAATTAATTAAATTTATTTATTTTACATCCTGACCAAAGTTTCCCCTCCCTCCTCTCCTCCCATTCCCTCCAGTCAGCTTCCCTCTGCCCTTCTCCAATCCACCCCGCCTCTGTTTCTGTTCAGAAAGGGGCAGACCTCCCATGGGTATCAACAAACCATGGCACAATCTTAAAAGTTTTAAGTAAGCCATCTCTCAAACAAAATGGACTTTAGCCTCCTAAGAACCTGTAAGAAATAGGTCTTAACTCTAAGGACAACTTATGGTGAAGTTGTGCATGAAGATCTATGGAACAGACACACTTACTTTTCAGTAAGTGCTTCCTGCTTGGGCAGTGTGCTCAGTCTTATGCCAGCAAACAAGAGTTGTGTAGCAAAAGAGTTCTTACTCATCCCAGGGAATGTCTTACACTAGAGTCATTAGGACATGTACTTCCTTTTTCTCAGGCCAACTTACTAGAATGCTTTACGATTGCTCTAACTCTGCTTGCTCTGTACTACCTTCCTTTTTTTTCCCTCTACACAGAACTAAAAACTCTGCAACTCCTCACATATGGAAGCATGCCTCCTCTTCAACCTTTCCAGCCTCCTAAAACGGAATTAGAGGTTAAAAAAAAGGCATCTTAAACATAGAATTTAAATATGGGGGTAAGCGGGTGGTAATCACACGGAAAAAAGCATTTGACAAAGCAATTTATCACTTAATTTTTAAAGACATATATGTTTCAAGTGAATTTAATTTGCATATTTTCTGACTCATTTCCATCCCATTATCCTAAGCTCTTTTTAAAGAGTTGCTGCGTTTTTACATTATCAGAACAAGCACTTGTGTCATCTGTGACTTCCTAACCTTTGTTTTCGGGAATTTGACTACAGGAAAATTCTTCATCTAATCTCAATGCCTCGGCCATCTTCTGCTTGAGAAGGAAGCATGGAGAGCAGGACCCTGGTGGTTTCTCTTCTGTCTGAAAAGTTACACTATTGCTGGTGGCTTTGAGTACCAGGGTTTTCACTAAAACTTCCTTCATTGTTTCAACCCACTCTTCTAGCACTTCAAATTTATTCACTTGTGAGAATGACAACTCTCCAAGATGTATGGCGAGGCTGGAGTGAATGGGTTGCCTAGTGGTCTCACTGGGATACTTTTATTTCATTTTACTATGTTTCTGTTGATTCATCGCAAACTCCTGCGCTTACTAATCAACACATGATTGCTGACTTGGCTTTTGCAGGTGGTCTGTGGAAACTCGGGTGTCCTTACAGTTCACATAAGCAACACCCACGTGGAAACAGTGAAGTGTCATCGGCTGCACTTAATTCCAAGATGACATTTTAAAGCAACTAGATTTTGCAGAGGAAAATGTTGATTATGTTGATGTTTGGAGCTCCAGATTATGTCGGAGCCCAGAACAGCAAGATGCATGCTTCTATACCCCAGCTGATGACGAAATGACAGGAAGCATGGATTTCATGGAATGTTTAGTATGTGTTAGACATCTTTTCTGTGCTTTAGACCTGCATGTGGTCTTTTTCACTTACTGTTCACCAAACAAATAAGCAAATTCCATTAACCTTCATTTGTTAACGGGGATATTGAGGCACAGAGAATGTTGTCTGAGGATGCATAGCTACAAAACAATCAAGCAAGGATTCAGTCCTAGCTATTTGGATGCCTGGGATAGCTCTCAGGATTTCAGACAAAGTTGTTATTATAATATCTAAAAATCGAAACATACACACACACATACACACACACACACACACACACACACACACACACACACACACACATGCACGCACACCACGCACATGCACACACATGCACTTGTGCATTAGAAGAAAACATTTTAAGGGAGGAATTAGCATTGGTTTCTGGGAAAAACACTGACTGGTACTAAAGAGCTATTGAATTTTATTTATTGTCTCTCTTTTTTAACAACACAATGTCTTTAAATAAGATACATTACTGCATTTATGCCATGGTCTTCATCAGCAAACTAAAGATCAAATTAAAAAGAAAGATACTTGCCCTGTAAGCTTTCATGACTCACTGGCCCCATAAAAGCAGGCACTGCTGAAAGCCTTTGAAGCCAGGCAGGTCTCTGGGTTGGGTGGCGAGCCATGACTGAGGACAGTGCACAGAGCTGGGATCTGTTCTCCCTGTTGGGCTCAGTTCTGGGTATGGCTTGTCAGCTGTTGCTTATTTTTCCTGTTCAATCTTTTCTTATCAGAGGCAGAAGGCATAAAGGATGCCATCTGGGATTGCTTGTTTAGATACAGCATGGTGTTAACAAGTTTTCCTCTCTCTTCCTCTTTCTTGTTTATTGCGAGTTGCAAGGAGCAGCAGTACACATGTCCAAATGAAGCTATTGCCCGGGATCTGTTCTTCATCACGAACTTCAGGGGCGAAGGGAAAGGGGAGGCAGGAGATGGGAGTATAAAGGAGAGCAGGTAAGAACTGTTGGGTTGTGTGAAGCAGCATAATCATGTTCAGCACCTAGAGGAGTTTCCAGATCAAGCTATTTGAAACTGTGAAACAAAACCTATGAAATTGCATTGACACCCTCTCAGGGAGTTGTAGAGGACTGTGTTTTCCTTGGAATTTGAAGGCTGGTAAAAGCATGACACTTCCTAACCTGGTAAGGAGATTTTTGATAGTTCAGTGTTAGCAGCTTAAGTTTCAGTTACAAGATCTTTGAAGCCATGCTCTACCACTTGAGAGCTGGTAGAGGATTCTGCTCCTGCTCTATGGAGACTCCATTCAGGTGGACTTTGCACCTGTCAGCAGATGCTGTGATTGTTGACTGCTAAATCTAGCCAAGCTTATCCTATTATTAAATATCCTTATCAAAAATGGAAAGAGCCCTCATGGAAACCAAAGCCCAACTGACAGCCTGGCATAGAAACACTTGCCTCTTGTGTGCTTTGATCTTCTGTAGGAGGAAGGTGATGGTGGACTTTAACTGAGGTTGCCGTCTTCCCTTAAATAAGTGACAGATTTTCATTTTGCTTCTGCAAAAAGTAACCTAAGGCATTAGTGAACATTTGAAGTCATTTAGTCTCTCTTTGCTTTAGTTTTCTTATCTGTTAAAGTGAGGTTGGGGCTGGTGATATGGTTCAGGGGGTAAAGGTGCCTGCCATCAAGACTGACCACATGAGTTCAATCCCCAAGGACGCACAAGAAAAAAAGGGAACCAACTCCTGCAAGTTGTCCTCTGACCTCCACATGCACAGGGTGGCATATGCATGCCCATATACATACACATATATGCACACTATCTAAATAAATAAAATAGAAATAAAAGTTTTCAAATCAAATCAAATCAAATGATATTGATGATATTAATGGTTTTACAATTTTGTTTCAGTGTTTTTGCATAGTGCTTGGCTCATGACATAAGTAGCTGTAGCACCAATTACATTGATTTTCTAATACTGGCTAGATGAATTGGCAATTCTGATGAACAGGTGCCCCTTCAGACATTCTGGAACAGTAGAAAGGTTAGTCACCTCCACTGCTTAGGAATGAGAATAATCACTATAGCCTGAATATCCTGGCTTCTAATTAGATTTCTTTCAAGAAAGGAATCCGTCCCAGCTGAGTCCCAGGCAAGCTCTCGATTTCCCCGTGCTCAGTACTCACGCTCCAACGTGAAACGCCTGTGGACTGCTTCTACAGTGTGCTCGCTCACACGCTGCTGGCAGTCATCTGCATTTCTGCAATGACAACACTGCTTGCCTCAGACAGAAAATATCCATGCATAAAATAAGTCTCCATACTGCTAGTGTCTAAATTAGGAAATGTAAAAGCCAATTCGTGTAAGCCAGCAGGCAAAACCAACAGCAGTGCTGGCTGTGAAAAGAGCAAACTTCCCATCCTGCAGTGGGGCCTCCCCCATTGTGCTAATGGGTCCTTTCCAAAGCTAGTGTTGGAGACTGCACAGCAGCCAGCACCTTGGAACAGATATGCATTCAGAGCACCAGTAAGTGAGAGTCAAGGAATTAGCACCAGTCCAAAGAGTTACTGAAAGCCCTGAGGAGCTCTGAATTTCCAAACAGAGTTGTCTATAATGATAAAGAGACCCACGAAGAGGAATTTGGGTTATTGCAAAACCTTCTCTGCAATGTGTGGCATCAGGAAAATGTATCTGTGATTTGCTGAATGCTATGTAGCATCTACCTGGGGTCCTTAATTCCTGGGAAGGAGGTATTTCAGTCATTCATCTATTCAATCACTTGATCTATTCAATCGTTTCACATCCCTCTCCCCAGCCTCACCATACTCCAGTCACTCTTTTACCTTCCTAGAAAAACACCACAGGAAGATAGTTGTTATGTCTTGGTTTATCAGTGTTACAAAGAACTACTTTTGTCTAGTAGTTCTTCAAACTCCAATTTCTATTTCCCTTGGAGCCTTGGTCATGTATGCACACTGTACACAGTTGGATTATAAACGTCCTTAGGCAAGGAACTCTTATTCACTGCCCTGTAATTGCACATAACAGTTGCTCTGCAGATACAAGATTTAAGTTATCTTCCAACTGGCTAATGAATTTTCAGAAAATTAACATTGTTATGTATACTAACTAGTATGACTACCTAAAACACTTGCATGTTGCTCCATTTTGTGTGTCTTTAGCACAGCCAGTGATGAAATTAGCACACAGTTGATGAAGACCTGTCTTAGTTTGCTAAGGATTGTCTAACAGATTACCACAAGGTATGTGGCATGAACAATGGGAAATTTGTCTCAAATTCTAAGTAGGAATCAAGGTATTAGCAGGCCTTGTGTCCACTCAGAAGCTCTGAGGAAGAGCCTGTTCCCTTACTGCCCTGGGTTCTGGTGGTTGTTGGCAGGCCCTAGTGTTCCTTGGCTTATGGTTGCCTCATTGCAGTATGTGTCTTAGTTTTCACCTGGCTTTCACCGTCTGTGTGTTTCTCGATGTGTTTTTCTCTCCCAAGAATACTTATCAGTGGATTTAAGGCCACCCCAACTAACCCAGAGGGATTTAAAGTTTCACTGAAGTCTATGAAGATCTATTTCTAAACAAGGTCATGATCACAGGTTGAACACAACTTTGAGGTACCATCTCAACCCACTCAAGAGTTGTAAAATTTACAAGAGAATTACTTAGAATAGAAGTTGCCTATGAAAGCACATTCATAATATCTACAATCAGCTAAGGACTACAGCATGAGCAAATGAATCTTGGAATGAATGAGGATCCAAAGTCATGTGAGCAGGTACTGAACACTCCAACCAACCCAGACTCTTCTAATAATCCAGGTCCATAGCTGATCTAGCTTTCAGCCATGTCAGATGATCTTTCTTCCTCACTTTTACTTCTTATCCTGGTTCTCTTGTTTCCCAAGCCAATGTCATGATGGTGGGTATTTGAAATAATGGCACCCAGTAAATTTGTGAAGTATAGAAATTCTGAATTTACCATTTCTGTGTCTTCCTTAACACCTTCTTATGATCAACACCATTTCTTTCAACTTTCACTGAATCTATTTATGAACATTACAATTAACTAAATATGATTCCTTATTTTTGTTTGTTTATTTGTTTGGTTTTTCAAAACAGGGTTTCTCTGTGTGGTCTTGGCTGAACTGGAACTGGCTCTGTAGACCAGGCTGGCCTTGAACTCATAGAGATCCACCAGCCTCTGCTTCCCAAATGCTGGGATTAAAGGCATGCTCCACCACATCCAGGCTATGACTCCTTATTTTTGACCACTACTCTTTTACACCTTGATTTAAGCATCCACCCAAATGTCTGCTAAAGAGATACTAGATCCTTCTTAGGTGGAAAGAGAATTTTGAAATTGCACCAAAAATACTTGTCTCTTCCTCGTCTTTCATATACCTCTCATCAACAACATACTCTCCACAATAAAGAAGCATGCTGCTGTGGGAGCCAGTTAAGCATCCTGAGTGTGTGTGTGTGTGTGTGTGTGTGTGTGTGTGTGTGTGTGTGTGTGTCTGTGTGTGTGTGTCTGTGTCTGTGTGCTTTCCCATTTGCAGGCTAACAGATGTCTGAGAAGGAAGTTGGATGTCCTATTCTGTCACTCTCCACCTTAATCCTTGGAGACAGGGAGCCTCCTATCTCTGAGTCACCCCTACTGAGCTGGGTTTATAGGCACATGCGCTTGGCCACTTGTAGACTTTTAATGGGTTTTGAAGATCTCAACTCAGGCCCTCATGCTGGCAGACCAAGCAATCTTACCCCCTGGAGCTACCTCCTAAGCTCTTTTGAGGAGCCAGTTGGAGTAAGCTAAACTTATGGACGACTCATATCTCAAAATGACTCTGTAATGAACCATGCCTGCCGAAGTCCACAGAAACCAGAGGCAGACAAAACAAGCACTAAAATAGGAAATTCAAGCCTGACGCTTGAGCTTCTGAGGCTGAGCTTTCCCCCATCAAGTTGACCTGTTTCCTGACAGCTCCAGGGAAATCTGTAGATGGGATTTTCTCCCAGAGGGTAGCTGCCACCACTTGCTCAGAGTTTTATCACTTGAGAAACTCTGCCAGCATGCAGCACACCCAGGTCTAGGCTGACGGGCTGACAAGGCACAAACTTGATTTTCTTCTCTGTCTAATCAGACAGTTCATTGTATCATTTCAACTTTAATATCCTAAGATGCTGGGGACAGTATATCCTGATCTTCACTTAAAATGATGATTTAATTACTACTTCTCGTAGTTCCCTTTTATGATCTCTCTTTTCCAGATTGCTCCTAAGCACCCCTGAACCATTTTTCTTTAGCTAAAGTACCTTTTAACAGTTTGCATTCCACCCATCTCTAAATTTCTACCTTTGAACTGAGCAAAGTGCTCTAGCAAATGTTTCACAAAATAAGACTGGGCTTGTTGTTCAAGGTCTACTTTTAACTGGTCATCTCTCCCCAACCCCCACATCCCCCCAAAAAACTCCAAACCAACCAACCAGCCAACCAACCAAACAAACATGCAAACCAACCACTTGTCTTGAGCCAAAGGAGATGGAACAAGGAAGTGTTTTCTATGGAAATCTCACCTATACTGTACTGTCTTGTTCACAGTTGACACTTGGGTTTAGAAGGGCTTGTGAAAGAAACAGAACCATGGGAACTGAGCCACCATAATCCCTCACTCTGCAAGAACAGAAAGGAAAAGAGACACTTAGATACTTATTTCCTTCCTTCCTTCCTTCCTTCCTTCCTTCCTTCCTTCCTTCCTTCCTTCCTTCCTTCCTCTCTGCCTTCCTTCCTTTCTTTTTTCATCTGTGTGTTTGCTCGCAAACTGTATCTGAAAAGCCAATTACTCCTCGGGGGACCTGGTAGTAAGACTGAGAGAGAATTTACTTTTGTTTTCTTGATCTTCCCCTAATCCTTGCCCTGCCTGTTTTCATTAGATAGAAAACATTATGAAGCCTGGCAGATTTCAGAGTAGCAGAGATGGACCTTCTTTGGCCCATCCAGAAAACTCTTTCAGAAATGTGTGTTGAGCTTTTTGACAAACTTTGAACATCCTAAACTACTCCTGCTTTTTTCTGGCTTCCCTCCCCCTCAGCCATCCTTCCCCTTTATGCCCTCTTGCTTACAGCGAGTTCCCTGTTTTAGCTGAGTCACAGCAGCTGGCTGGCTCCTCCAGGGTCATACTGTACGTAACACAGAATCCTCTCTGTTGGCTACCATGGTGCTTCAAAAGAGGGCTGTGGCAGCCGCAGAAAAGCATGCTGGGTACTGCAGCCGAGCCTTCCTTTGAAGCCCTGAAGCAAGCGGCTGGCAGAGGGAGCCTGGGACAGCTCAGTGATCCAAGGTTCCTGGATAACATGGCTTTGCTGAATCCCAGAGCTCTTGCTGCTGTTCCTGATGCTGTTCAGAAGCACGCCCTAAGGAAACTCAGAACAAAATCCAGACAGACAGGAGCAGGGTCACATGGCGTAGAAAAGCCAATGGCTGCCAGGAAACAGCCTTAAAACTGCCAGAGCCTTGGCACCAGTCCTGGAGCTCTGCCAGCAGGGTGAACAGTGGGATAGGAGCGGTGGTCACTTCCTTTGCCAGTCAACTGGGTTGGTTGCGTCTGGGCACAGGAGACCTACCGAGAAGCTCAGTGCTGCTTTCTTCTTTGACAGTAAACGGTGGCCGGTTTAAGTAAAATATACGCCCTAACCAGGTGGAACAATGCAGATTTTCATGGCTAAAAACAGAATCTTCTGGTTTTCAGATCCTTAAAACTGGAAGGCTCCCAACTTCTAAAAACTGTCTGAAAGGCTGAATATTTTACGAACTGCAGATTCCAAAGCCCTCAGGTTGATTTAGTGGTTCTTTCTTCCCATGGGTCCTCAGATTATTGATCTCTGTCTGACCTTTATTCTGTGAAACAATGTTTTTTGGTTTTTTATAAGTGGCGTATGAGGAGAAGGAGGGGGAGAATGCTGTCTAAGCAAGGCCATGTTCTTACTGCATGTTGATGGAGAATATTTATGCATGAATGTTGACAGCCTCACCCCACCCCATCCCCGTGGTGTGTGTGTGTGTGTGTGTGTGTGTGTGTGTGTGTGTGTGTGTCTCCTTGGCCTCAAAGTAAACACCCCTGAAGAAGGAATTGATCCTAAATGGAAAATTTAAAATCACTAAATGGCCCCATGTCACTTTACAAGCCAGACTTGTTAGGAAAGTGTTATAAATCACAATGGACAACTGTGCCTTCTGAGCAGACATCAGCTGTTGGGATAATTTTAAAATATAAAGCGATAGGTGGTCAGCAGATAACACTTGCTGCTCTGCAGAGACATTAATATAAACCCATAAAGCCACATAGTTTACCACGGCATCCTTGGATGTGATGCACATGCTAAAACCAAAAAAAAAAAATGAAGTGTATTATCTCAAAAGAGTGACATTTTGTTTTCAATTGACAGGACTCAGTGAAGTACACGAGGGAGGAGATTTACCCTCAAAAGCCAGACTTTTAATGAGGCCGCTTTTCTTCAGCTGCGAATGCCAAAGACAACCAAAGTTAAGTAGAAGTGTCCCTCAGAAGGTAGGCACGGGAAAGATGACACTGAAAGTGAACCCCTGGGGATTCTTAAGTCATTGCTCTTCTGAGCAGTAACACCTACAGCATGTGTGAGAACTGGTTCACCTTGAATCCAACACTTTAAAGTTTTCTTATTGCCAGCTAGGCCATTTCTAAAGGAACCACAAAAATTATAACTGATTTGCCAGGAGCCAATAATTTATCAGAGTAACAAGTGTAAATATTTTATAGAGTATATTCAGCCTGTGCTTATTTCAAAATTCCATTTTGTTGCTGCTGTTGTTTCGCAAAACAGTAACAAAGAGTCTCTCCTTCCTTTCCAAACATGAGCAGCTGATGGTTGAGACGCAGGATTGAAATGAGCAGTAATGTAAAAGAGAAAACACTTCCCAAATGAAGATGCATATTTGATACAAAGAAATTTTCACCCACATGAGTAAAAATGCGCATGTTACATCAATGGCAGTCATAATGGAGTCTTCAGTTGAAAAAGATGGGACTGTGAAACCATGACTTTCAATGGAAGGATATGAGGAGTAAGCTGCCTGAAAACTGTGATGGATTGTTTGACTTGCCAACATGATACAGGAAAAATATTTGAATTATTTGGGCAAAAATTGTCAGCAGAAAAACGATCATAAAACAGTTTAACTGCCATGTTAAGCACATAGTAGTTACTAAAAATAATATTGTTATTATTTTAATAAAAAAGACCACTTTTCAACATTTGAAGTGCCAGAATGGTGGCCCACTCCTCATAAATCTAAGCACTTGGAAGTTTTTGTTTTTTTTTTTTTTTTTTTTTGGTTTTTCGAGACAGAGTTTCTCTGTGTAGCTTTGCGCCTTTCCTGGATCTCGCGCTGTAGACCAGGCTGGCCTCGAACTCACAGAGATCCGCCTGCCTCTGCCTCCCGAATGCTGGGATTAAAGGCGTGCGCCACCACCGCCCGGCCAACACTTGGAAGTTTTAAGTCAAATTAAGAACCGGTAAAAACAAAATCAACATACATTCTATCTGTATCTCTTGAAAGATGTACTTCTCATCTTGCAAGAGGTCATGTATAAAGACAGAGTTCTCAGAAAATGTGGAGAGCTGTCTATCAACATGGAGGTTTGGCCTGTGCTTTATGCACCCAGCCTACCCATTCCCTTCTCACCTACTCCCTTCCCATTGCAGCCTTACTCCCAGACTATGTGTATAGATACCTCAGCCCATTTGGAGGTCCAGTCTCTGAACAGCCACTCACTAAGCCACTGGCAAAGGAAAAACAAATATCTAGTATCAGTTCATTGGCCTTTAGGTATTCATAACAGAGTGGGGTCCACCTGTATACACATCCAATGAAAGTCAACACTGGCTGGAAACAGAGCTTATGGGAGGAGAAATAACCTTTCCAGGCATCGTCCTTCATCATGACATCATGTCTCCATTCCAAGATTTGTTTACCTTCTCTGTAGAACACCCCTAGAGTTGCTCTTACTTGCCAAACATTTGTGAGGTACTGGAGTGAAGATGGTCAAGGTTGGTCAAGCTTTGATTTTAAAGGGCTCTACTGGTCACTGTGAAGGGCTAGACTGAAATGAAACGGATGTGCTCAAAGCACTAAGGTGAATGTTTAGACATGCTATCTCTCTTCTATTTCTAGTCAGCTAGATATTGTGGTACAAATATTTTCTATTTTCCTCTACCTTGTCACATCTGCCACATCCGTGCTGACTCCTGTCTGCATTTCTATCACAGAGTATGGTTGGGTTTCAATATATTCTTATTCCTTTTTACTTCTTTTTTTTTCAACTCATGATGTCTAGTGCTTTGAAGCAAATATCTAATAATCATTCATTTAAAATGTATTTATAATGTAGTATTGTTGCTCATAAATTAAATGATGCTTCAATTTACCAATATAGCCAAAGACTTGGTCTACATTATTCTCCAGAACCTAGTTCAAGTCAACTTGACATCCTTAGTCTGAAATGTTTGACAGGATTAAGATCTTGGCTTCCTGCCTTAAAGATTTGTATTATGACATATCTGATTATGCTATACCACAGTTTAAATTCTTCTACTGACTTAAAACTTGATAAGATCCCTTTGACTCCTAGATCAAGTTCAAATATGTATAAAGCCAAAAATGCTTCTCTGACCTCTGCCTCTCTGTTTAACACCATCATCCATCGTTTTACATATATGTGTGTGTGTGTGTGTGTGTGTGTGTGTGTGTGTGTGTGTGTGTGTGTATGTAGTTAGATGTTAATGACTATGTGAAATAATAATACTTAAAGCTCTCTGAGACTGTCATCAGGTCTCTTTCATGTCCTATCTCATTTAATCCACATGACAGTCTCAGGAAGGAAATACTAGCTAGTTCCCATTTTACAGGTAAATTACAGTTATGTGGACAAGTTTACATTCTAAGAGGTGGAGCTAGACTATCTATGAGTTCAAACAGACTGACCAGACTTTAGAAAGACACCACTGAAGGGAGCAAAGGAGTCAGGTTCTTGTCTTCTTTGCCTTGTGAATGAAATTGTGCCAACTTCTTCTACATTGCTATGTGAGTGTGCACATAGTTTGTCTGTTTGTTTTGTGCATGTAATCCCTTATTCTACAAAGTCCACTTAGTTCAATAGTGCTGAAGATGGCCATTTTTAGGCTCATCAAAATTCGGGAAACTGATTCGCCTTCTTTTTCTAAATTGTTGTAATATGTATTAAAGAAGGAAGAACTTACAGTTGTATCATGATGGCTGCCGGGTAAATGAATACTTGGGATGAAACAATCAAGTAAAAGTTACATTTCTTTTTTTTTTTTTTTTTTGGTTTTTCGAGACAGGGTTTCTCTGTGTAGCTTTGCGCCCTTCCTGGAACTCGCTTTGGAGACCAGGCTGGCCTCAGACTCACAGAGATCCGCCTGGCTCTGCCTCCCGAGTGCTGGGATTAAAGGCGTGTGCCACCACCGCCCGGCAAAAGTTACATTTCAATAGTGATATCATTGTGTATCAAGTTGGCAAGGAGTCAACTGAGCTAACACAAACTCCAATCATACAGTAAGAAGATACCTCACTTGGGATGATTGTGGCATTTTCTTGGTTAATGATGGATGTGAGGGGGTCTAGCCCACTGTGGGTAGTGCTGCCTCCAAACGAGTGATCCTAGTTTGTATAAGAGCAAGCCAGGAAGCAGAGTTCTATGCTTTCTGCTTCAGTTCCTGCCTTCAGGTTCTTGCCTTCAGTTCCTGCTCATAATTTGCTCAATGACACATGGACTGTGATATGAAAATAAAAGCCAAACAAACCTGTTCTTCCCCCAACTTTCTTTGGATCACTGTAGTAGTTTGAATGTAATTGGCTCCCAATAATTTCATAAGGAATGGCACTAGTAGGAGGTGTGGCTTTGTTAGAATGGAAATGGCCTTGTTGGAGGAAGTGTGCCACTGTGAGTGTAGGCTTTGAGGTTTCTTGTACTCAGGATACTGCACAGTACTAAATGTTTTCCTTATAAGAATTTTCATGGTCATGGTGTCTCTTCACAGCAATGAAAACCCTAACCAAGTAAGTAAGCATTCATCACAGTAACAGAAAGAAAATTAGGGCATTTCTGGACTGCATTTGCAAGAGGTTGGTAGCCTTGATATTGGGAAGTATTCTAACACTAGGGTTAAGGTTAGGATTAGGTAGAGTTGAGAGAACCAATTTATTAAGCCACTCTAGTCAGGGATTTTCTTGGTAGAAAACCTTTGAAAATTCAATTTAATTATTAGATGTTTGTCATCTTGGAAGCTATTTGTTTGCACCATTTAAGTTGTTGAATTTATTTGCACATGACTATTAC